GCCGCGGCTACCACCGAGCCTCGCTGCGCCTGCACCCCGACCGCGTCCCGGCCGAGCAGAAGGAGGAGGCCACACGCCGCTTCCAGGTGAGGAGAGACCGGGGAAGAAAGGGAGGGATAGACAGAGGGAGGGAGGGAGGGAGAGGAGCGGTGGCGGCCACGGGTGAGACCGACCCTCCACTCCAGAAGGGACCCGTTCCCTGATCCGCTGTCCCCCAAGTGACTGAACCCCGGGCAAGCGACCCTGAGTGCCCACCCTGCTGACCAGCCCCGACTCCGAGTGCCCACCCCGCTGACCAACCCCGACCCCGAGTGCCCACCCCAGTGCTCCCTGGGTGCCTGATCCCCGAGTGACCGCTCCCCGAGTGACCTCCCGGCCGCTGCCGTGTCCCGCAGATCCTGGGCAAGGTGTACGCCGTGCTGAGCGATGAGAAGCAGCGCGCAGTGTACGATGAGACGGGCATGGTGGATGAGGACGCCGAGGCGCTGCAGGACGGGCGGGACTGGCTGGAGTACTGGCAGCTGCTGTTCAAGGTGAGAGCGGGACGGGGCTGGGACACACCTCCCCTTTTTGTTTTTATGTGTTTTCTTTTAAATCCTCCTGGTGAGTAAGTCCCTTAAGTCACCTCTTTGCTCCAGGTCACCGTGAAAGACATCGAAGAGTTCAAGAGTACCTACAAGAACTCGGAGGAGGAGCTGGCTGATGTGAAGGCAGCGTACATGAACTTCAAGGGCGACATGGATCGGATCATGGAGTCTGTGCTGTGCGTGGACTACACGGATGAGCCCAGGATACGGGAGATGATCGAGCGAGCCATCGACTCTGGGGAGGTGCCATCCTACAAGGCTTTTGTAAAGGAGTCAAAGCAGAAGATGATGTCCAGAAGAAAGCGGGTAGGTTGCAGCAATTACTTAGCAGAACTTCTTCCCTTGGCTGAAATAAGTAACTCTGTTCCCAAGATGTTTGTCACAGGATTGCTGGGTTACACACCTGAGTGTTAACTTCTGGTCACCCATGGTCATCACCCCCCCAACCCAAATCATTGTGAAAGGCTTTTCTACTTCTTTATTTCCTTATTATACACAACAGCTTGTTACAGTTTAGCATGTCCCTGCATTTATCTACAAAGCTGGGAGTTGCTGGAGTTAACAAAAACAAGCAAGTGACGAAAACACATTTTGGTTGGCTCTGGCCTAAATGGACTCCTGTATGCTTTTGGACACTTTGTAGAATGTTATTTGCAAATCACAGCAACCTTTAAGTTATTGTAGTATCTACCAAAATAAAATTAAAAAAGGGTGTGGGAACAGTGGTGGGGACAAACATCACATGCAACACTGTGAAAGAGCAGAAAAACTTCCTGCTCTGCTAAATGGTGGAACCAGAATGGGCTTTCCTTCCCAAACTGGGAAACCCTTTGCACCTCCCTGCAGCTATTTGTACACAGATGCCCAAAAAGCATTCAGTAAGTCCTGTAAGACATGGTCAGATAACATGCAAAATACCTCTTTAAAAAACCTTATTTGCTCTTTTAGGCAGAAAAAGAAGCTAAAGAGGCAAAAAAGACTATAGATGAGCTGGGCCTTGGTGGAGAAAATGACTTGCAAGCACTGATTAAAGTAAGGCTTCTTCTGTTTCTTGCACATAATTTTGTAACTGGCTTATAATTGTGTTTTCCCTGAGCGTCTTTGATTTTGGATCCTTGCATATATTCTGAATTCCTGAGGTTAAAACCTGGCCTTAATGTTAACTATGTGCTTTAATTTAATTAGAATCAGAGTACAGTATGCATTTTTTTACC